ACATAGGTTTTCCATCATTTGAACATCAGAGATCACTGGAACACGTATGTATAGTGTCTATAGTATATACTTAACAGCTAGAACAATATATTTACTCTTAGTTAACCTTTCTTGTATTATTCTGGACAAGATGAGGTGCCGAGAAGTGCCATCAATATGTATAAATAGCAACATGCTTACGGATAGTGGCAAGAAAATATGCACAAGGAGCAGAATTGAACCCGAGGCCTCACAAGGGCAAGGAGATGAGTGAACTTGACCAACTGCACCACACAGACGTGGTGAAAACAGATATCCAGGTGAGTATAGGCTGGACCTCTCTGGACCTCTGGACCTCCCAGGTAAGGTCAAAGGTTTGGGAGGTTTCACAATGGCCAGACCTCTACCTCTACCTCCGTGTACCTTTGATGGTACCTCTGGAGGTTACCTCTACCCCTGGGGAACCTTAGCAAGCTTACAGGAACGGCGAAAGTCTACCAGGTCAGCTCAAAGGGTGTGATCCTAGACGCTTTTTCGAAAGGGCGAGATATGATAAATGAGATCGTATGGGCGCATAGCCTGCTGAAGTCTCGTCTACAGGGAGGAGTCAAAGTAGTCGATAAGTTGTACCTCACCGATCGCGGTTATGAGGCTGCCTCCCCCGCTTTAACTCAATCCTCCTTGTGGAACCATCTAGACATACTCTCCCCTGGGTCGAAACTGAAAGGTTTCCTGGGCCATCCTTTGGAGCTGCGAAGCCAAGAAGGAGTGCAGAGATATTGGACGTCGCAGCTCAATCCGGGGATGCACCTTGCCCAGCTGCCGAATATTGATTGCAAGGAGTTGGAAGAGGCTTTCGCGTCTCCACCGGACCAGTTCCCTGTGTCAGCGAAGTTTTGGAATAAGCAAACGGGAAAACTGTCGACAGTCGGTGCTTCGAGTTATGACACGGGCGACGATTGGGAACTCCCCTCGAACCAAATCCAGGGGCGTTCAGAGAGGCGATCAAAATCAGAAGGTGGAGCTGAGGTCCGATTCAGCGATGACTCCTTCGTATTCGGCTTACATGGAAGCTTCAACTACGCCTTTGGCTTCGTCGCAACCGCAATTGCCTCCGAATACCCCGGCGAGCTCACAGCAACCTACTTTCCAGACGACGAGTACCCCTTTCTACAGAGGTTCCTTTAGCGGAGGATATGTGTCCGTCGATCCATCATTCAACTTCTCCACGAATACGCAACCACCCTACTTGCCTTCAGTGGACCAGTTGCTCGTTCTACCTAGAGCCTCGGTGACCCGCACATCGATACCACACATGATGGCAAGGTACGTATCATACGCGGTGGTGATCTGTTCATCAAGATAGGCCGTACACAGAACCTATCCAACACTGATTAGATACACGTAAGAAGTCTGGTAATTAATGATGCACCTTATGAAGATGCTGAAGTGTCTGAGCAAGTCCATCAATGCTAAATTGTGGGCACACGCGATGCTGCTGGCGGTATACCTTGAAAAGAGCGATTGGGAAGGCGAGAACAGGCTGCTCCGGTGATGTGCCAATATAGCTGAAGGAAAGAAGTGTTGCTTTGGCGGTTGCCGCGCTGGGGGAATGCGAAAAGTATTTTAGACCGCATTCTGTACAGAAATCGGTTTCTTTTGAGTGAGGAGGACATATTGAAATCACGTACCTGAGAAGGACAAGACCTCCAGCGACCATGCCGCCGCGTCGTTGAGAGTGGCCGGGCCGTCGTGCTTCAATTTGAAGTACATGTCGACAATTAGCGGCATTTGTGCCTGCCACCGGTCATTCGCCTCCTGGATGCGAGCGCTGGGGACGCAGGGATCCCTGCACCTAGTCCGTGATTAAGCAGGGAAAGGAGAGAGGTAGAAGTGAGGTAGAGACGTACCTGGGAGCGAGTCCGTTGATCATTTGCTTGAAGATAACCTCACCACCGGCGTGGCTCTGCAAGACACCTTCCTCTCGGAGGATATGATGCGAAGGCGTCCTCAACGTCGTCCCAGTCGCTGTCGTCGCCGCCAGCAGTGTCAAGAAGATTGTTATATGTGTCGTGACAACTGATGCCAAAAGGGGACAAGACTGAATCTGTCAGCCGAGTCGGACATTTGCCCGAGGTCGGAACCAAACTGGAAAACTAGGAGTCAGCCATCTCGCAAGCACCACAGGTAGATTAAAGATATGTGACTGTCTAGCCTTCAGCTGCGAGAAGAATGGAAGGGAGGAAAGAAAGTGGTGAATGATCTGGACTGGAGCCGGAGCCGAGGCCGAGCCGAGGACCGAAGGAGGCCAGAGGTAAGCCAGGCAGATGGTGAAGTTGCCAGAGCAGACAGGAGCACTGAGGGACAAAGACCCGAGGTCGTCCGGACGGAAGTCGGAGGTCGGACCGGAGGCGAACCGGAGATGAGCGGAACCGAATCGAAGTGACAGTTAAGTCAATAGAAGTAAAGGGGAAAGACGTCCGGGCAGGTTGACTTGAACCCGGAGTCGAGACGAAGCGAGGAGGCATCAGCCCATAAAAGGAAACATGGAATAACGTTAATTATACAACTAAGTGTAACTAGCTGCTTAAATACGGAGAAGGTAATTGTGAATACATATATGGTAATATCATGATGGTCCAAGCGCAACAATAGCAAGTGACCAAAAGGGGAAGGAGAAGTAAAACATGAGGATGAGACAATAAGAGCGGATAAACGGAAATACACAGTAAGCCTTTGTTGCGTGATAACCCGATGACTCCGAGGGTTGCTGAGCATTCCGAAGATCTCGGAGCGGCTGATTCGGCCGGATTTGATCAGAATCGGCGGAGGAATTGTCGGAGATAGTGAGTCAGGTTGCACGGATATAACAAGTGCGGGGTACTCAGTGAAAGCTACGGGCTTGTAGATTTCATTTCTGAGTATCTTGTTTGTGGGCACGGCCCTATTCAGAACCTATGGACTAATCTCGACTTCCAGCACCACACGAAGTCCGAGATAAGTCCCAAGGCAACTAATGGACATTCAGGAGTTTCATTAATCTTTCTTATTTCAACTGTGACTGCTTGGCTACTGATATGACTCGTTTTTCTATTTATTTTAAACACATGTATACCCGATCGTCTGTCATACCCCTACTCCGTTTATCCGCGATAGTGTAATTCTCTCTGTGTAAGTGTTATAGTGTACAGTATAAATTAGAGAGGGAACTGGCATGTACGGTACAGAATCCCACCCCGGTTATTGAGGCGCCACCCAGTTACGGCCCTCCTTAACGCACGGTTCAGATCTGGACTTGTCACTCAGGACTACTCTATTCAGAATAGTGCCGTACCAAGTTATAATATAAATCTCTGCACGCCCCTGGCGATACCCCTTGACTCCTGACTGATTGTGAATTGTATTGAACCTGTGGCTTGTGAATTGGCTTGTGGTATAGCCTTGTGTTTGGGATTTGGCTTGTGGTATAGCCGTTGGGGACTTGGAATTGTGACAGGCTTGTTGTATAGCCTTGGATTTGGATACATTTGGGATTTGGGATACAGTTTTGGACGCTTTACAATCCACTTTGCAAATAGGGTGCTATAACTTCGGTTACCAAGCCAGATTTCACTCAGAACACACGCGCACGCTTCACACGCTTAACAGCAAACCCTTAAATACCTGCTCCCCTCATTACAATACGAACTCAGCAGTAGTTGTAGATAAAAGCACATTAGGATTAGGTTGTTTGTTGTGGATTTGGTTAAAGATTCAACTTTGTTGTATCTTTATCTTCATTCGCATTTGAACTATCAAATCTTGGTCTCATCTACTTCTCCTGTGCAACCCTTTCAACGCCATGGCAAGTGTGGGTCCCACACCATTCAAACACCATGAAACCACGGCCATGGGACTTGCCCACAGTGTCAGTCTATTCACACCAAACTCCATCGAACCTTGTGTTCGAACCGGGTTTTACAATGAAGAATTACTGAGTGTTTCCCGTTTATCCGCCTTCTTTCTTATTGTTTCATCCTTATGTTCTAACTTCTATTTCCTTTTTGGTCAGTCGCTATTGTTGCACTTGGACCATCATGATATTTTCTTTTATAGATACATAATAACCTTTAGTAGTTTAAATACGCCTCCAGGTCATGTTGTATCTTTAGTTTGTTAATTAATGTTGTATACTCGGTAACCCTTCTCCTCCTTCTTCCGTAATGTTGTATGACACGGTACCCCGCTTCACCCCTCTATACATCGTAACACCTAGGCAACCCCGAGCTTACACGTCTTCTGATCTCGTCCGCTTGGAAGGATTGCTGCAGGCTCTCACCCTGCTGTTTGTGGTGTTGAGTGAAACCTCTGCACGATCCGGTCGATATCCCTCCGTCTCCGACTCCGACTCCGACCCGACGGCTCAGCAGATTACCTCGCCCGAGTACCTCCAGTCCTCCAGTCGGCCGAATCATTCCCCCTCATAGTCCCCTCCACCGCGTATATAACAGTAGCTACTGTTTATTCGTCTTCAGATTCCCCTTGCTAGGACTCTTGAGTACTCGTACTCTCGGGCCTTGAGATTGTCCTTACCGGGGCATCAACATTTCCATGCATCTTCGACATCTCGAACCTCAAAATTAGAGCTTGCCAAAACTAAAGTCAAATTTTTTTCTCAACATGTCAACAAATGTACAGAATTTTTTCAACATTTCAATGAATGTCAATGAATGTATATGAATGTTTATAAATGCCGATGAATCAACCTAGCTTTGGTGGCTTTTGTCCAATACAGACCCTCAAAAGATTCTCCTCCTACATTTTGGGGGTTCCACTCTTCGCAGATGCGTTGTCAACTCCTATAGCTCTAGATATCCACCATGGAGCCTCACATTGATGCCGGAGAGTGTGCACACACACCTCTTACCTGCCTTCCACCAATATCATTGGGATTCTGGGCCTCACGGCCACCACTCTGGTCGGAGCAGGAAGCGCAATCCAAAAGCACTGATATGACTTGGAGGACGTCATCATCTTGTATTGGCCCAATGGTCTAGTCGTAGGATACTCCCTTCGGGTTCATCCCGCTTACTCTCGTAAGTTCTCATGGGAGTGGTCCCGGGTTCAATTCCCGGTTGAGCCCCTTTTTGGCATTTCGGTGAACCCAGCAATGTTCCGGTACTCTTTCGCTCTGTTCCCTAATTTTTGGGTGATTTTAGGACGCGGCGCTGGCGTGCAAAGAAAGCGGAGAGTTTGTGATGCGTGATTGTCACACTGATTCCTCGCATCGGTGCCTCTTGTTAATGATAATTACTCTTCCGTATTATTATAATAAGTATCGGATTCCTTGTCCCACTCGCGCGCGGCGAGACGTCGACTGGACGCGTCAAACTCGTCATGCTCCCCGACATCGCGCTGGGGCAAGAACCCAGTCTTTTCCACAGCCCAATCCTCGTTCCGTGCGACTTCCTCGGCAACAAGCTGGGCCGCTTCGAGCCGCTGCGCTTCTTGCATGTTCACCTCGCCCTCCCTTCGCGCGCGCGCCGCGCCCTCCCATATCTCGTCCCACACGTCGAGCACGGGTCGCAGCACGTCGGTGCGCCGGGCCAAGAGGCGCATCATGACGGACGATTGGTGCGGCGGTAGCGGCGGGCTGCGCTGGTGCAGCATGTGTTCGAGGACGCGCGTTGCGAGCTTCAGGCGATGCTGCTCCAGCACGTTGCTGCCGAGGTACGACCGTGTGAGCTGGCGCGGGGGCCGCTGGGCGGGTGGTGCGGGATACGCGTCAAAGTCGAGCGGGTGCGCGGGGTATTGGACGTGGGGGTCCGGGTTGTTTGGGGAGCGCGGCGCGTGGTAATGCTGCTGCAGGCTTGCTTCGAGCTCGTCGCCGTGGGACAGCGGGTACGTCTCCTCGGCGTCATCGAGCGCTGCTTCCGTCTTGGCGGCGCCCTCGTTCCACCTCGTCACTTGCTCTGGAGAAGCTGTCGTCATCGGGCGGGATGCGTACAGCCGGCCAGGGCCGCTGTCGGTGAGACCACCGCTGAGAAACACGCCCAAGAGAGCTTCGTACGTGGGCATCTCGGGCGGAGGCATAAGACTGTCGTCGGCCGCTTCGACAGGGTCCTCGGGCGGGGCATGGATATGAAAATGCGAGGGGGCGTCAGACCCAGCCTCTGCTGCCAGCTCGACTCTCCGTCTGTGACGCAAGACGGTGCTTATTCGCTTTTTCAGTTCCCACTCGTCTATCCCCTCCGGATTGAGACCCTCGAGTTCATCGGGTAGGTCGTCGGCAGAGGCTCCGGCGGCTATTAACTGTTTTCCATCCGACGCGCTGGCGTCCAGGTTGTTTTCCCCGTCCGAAGGCGTGCTGACAGACTCCAAAGGAATCTTATGCTTGAGACCCCTCCGCAAGAAGCCGCTGGTCGGAAAGGGAAACTGGCTGTAGATATGTGGTACACGCGGCAGAGCGTTGGCGTATCCCTCAAGGATCTCGCGGAGATGGGCACGGGCAGCCACGCGTCTGGTAAAGCCGTCGACCGTCGCGTAAACATATACTGAATCTAGACCGGGTGCGAGCTTGTGTGGGCTTAGTAAAGGAGATGTACGGAAAGCGAGTCAAACTCACACTCCCTACAGTAGCTATCCACGCACTGATGTTACCAAACGGAATCTGGCGGGTCTTGATTAGGGTGCCGAGAATGGTGAGGGCCTGGACGGCGATGCGGGCATGGTGCTGAGCGCGCTGGGGTGTTAGCGGCGTTCTGGGCCCGGGGGAAAGGGCAGGGCTTTCCTCGGTGGCTGCGTAGTAGGGGCTTTCCGGACGGTTGGTGAGGCTGGAGAGGACGCCCGCGATGCGGAAGCAGAGGTCAGCGAAGAATGCGGGGCTCACGCGTGCCTTTTCTATTTGGAGGACGGCGAGACGGCGACGGAGGTGGTGGCGGTCATGAGGGTTGAGCGGTGGGGCGGCAGGGTCCTCGGCGCGCAAGAGAAAGGGAATGCTCCTGCGGAGCTGATGGTCCTTGACCTGGAGCTCGAACATGAGAGCGGCCGGAACCCATTCGCGCTGGCGAAAGAGAGAGTCCAAAATCATTGCAGCGTCCTTCCTTTTGCGGGGGACAAAAAGATTCCTCGCCTGCAGATAGAGAGAGAGGGCAGTGCGCAGGGCAGGTTCCGAGACCATCGAGGCCTGAATTCTGAGCAATGCCGGACGCTGTGCGGTGCGGACGCGGTCCTGGCGGCCCTGTGTCTTGGGAACCAGCGCGATGAGAGCCCCGATTGTTTTTGAGAGAGTGGTAGGGTGAACGCGGGGCAGCTTGACTGCAGTGCGCTCGGTGGCAAATGCGTTGAGGAACGCGCCGGCACGGAGAGGCTCCTCCATACGGAGGAGGGAATGGACGACGGCATGAGCGACCAGACGTGGGTACGGGGTGTGTGCATTTTCGCGCAGAAGGGCGAGTGCGCCGACAACACCGCTGACAGCGAGAGCAGCGCGAAACTCGCGGACCACCTCCTGGGGGCCTTTGCGCGGCGATGGGCTTTTCCACTGAATGGGAACAGGCGGCGCGACATGACCCACGACGTCGTCGAGAGAAAAGACGCGAGGACGCTCATCCAGATCCAACAGCGCCTCGAACTCTGGCGGCAGAGACGCGGGCTGGCTGGACACGCGTCGAATGCAGACGCGTCGAATGCACCACACAGTCCGTCTTGCAAGCATTCATCTAGCTTGGGAATCAACCACAACAAACATGGAAAACTTCGAGAGATCGAATTAGGAAGGAGGTAACTCTTATTGCTGTTTGATTGCCCTGCGGGCAGAGCCAGCTACCTCACATCCTACAGACCTTTCTCGAGCGCACGCCCTCCGGATGAGTGAATAAGGAGATCACACTTTAGTAAAACGAAAGACGCGCTCTATCTCGACAATAAAGACACCAAAGTAGTGTAGATGCAGTCCAAAAGCAGGGTTTTGGAATTATTTTATTCCGCACAAGGAGCGAATACCTTGGACTGTCCCTAACACCTGGAACACTAGTGTCCAGACATTCACTAGCTCGGCCTCGAGTTCACTCTCATTAATCAAGGATAACATTCAGTAACGTCTGTGCGTTGATAAGTGACCTTCGCGCTCGAAGAAACGTTGAATTACTTCATTCCGATTCTACAGCTCCTTGTGCAGCCCGGCGCCAAACCCAAGCCACTGCCAAAGCGCCCGCTCGTCGCCGTCCTGCCCCCAGAGATAGTACACGGCGCGGCGTTGCATGACCACAAGGTGCTGCGGGAAGTACGTGACGATGCCCGAGCACACGAGCAAGAACAGAATCGCAAAGATGGTGACTGTGGCCGCTTAAGAACACGAAAACACGGCGCCGACAAGACGAGACGCACTGAGGAGGATCTTTTCCCATGGTTCGAGCATGGACAGCACGAATGTCGACTCAAACCACATCCTGCGACGCCACAAAAAAACACCGAGCGCCGAGGAAGGGCGCCGGGTGAATGAGTGGTCGGGCTTCGGGGGAGGGAGGTATGCGGTCGCAAAGGCCATGGTGGTTCAATCGGAAGCCCAAGTCAAACAACGCAAAACATCCCTCCTCCACCCACCATGGTCAGTTCAACTACCTCTTATACTGACAGCCTGCTAACCCACCGTAGAGCGACAACGCAGGTATTTGGCGCCCTTTCCCCACAGCCGCACGGTTCTGACTGGAGCAGAGTACAAAGAGGCATTTGCCCTGTTCGACAAGCGCGGCACCGGCGCCGTCCCCCGAGAACAGCTCGGCGACCTGCTGCGCGCCCTGGGCCAGAACCCCACACAGAGCGAGGTCGCAGAGATTGTCGCCGCTGCCCCGCGCGATGGTGCGTCCCTCTCCTATTCGCCGTCGTTCCAAGTTAATCAACGTGATCCAGTCGATTACAAGACCTTTCTCGCCATCCTCAACCGCCCGGACGGCTTCAAGCCCGCCGGCACGCCAGGTGCGCTGTGCGTTCACACCCAGCTAACAGATGGCTGACGCTGGGACAGAGGAATTCATCCGCGGGTTCCAGGTGTTTGACAAGGAGGGCAACGGGTTCATCGGCGCGGGCGAGCTGAGATACGTGCTCACCCAGCTCGGTGAGAAGATGACCGACCAGGAGGTCGACGAGCTGCTCAAGGGCGTCCAGATCGGCGCGTGCGTGCCTTGGTCCCTTTCTTATTTTCCTTGTACTGAACATGCTGCAGGGACGGAAACGTAAACTACGAGTCGTTCGTGAGGACGATTCTGAGCCAGTAGTCTGTCTGTATTTTTCCCCGTGCATCCAAACAGAGTGTATAGTAATTATTGACTGGTGCTAATTTTGCGGTGTGCGTCTAATCCTCCGAAACATACCCGTCCTCGTCCTCTTCAACCGTCTCGCGCGTGAGCATGTGCACGACGAGCTGCGCGCCGCCCTTGAGACACTCTACTTCGCCGACGGTCGTCCCGCGTGCCCAGGGAATCTCGCGCCGCGGGTACGCCAGCACAAGCTGGAAGCCCCACCACGCGTCCGCCGTCCCCGCCTCCTGCATCTGCTCCTCCATCGCGCGCTCAACGTCCGCCTTGCCATGTCCCTTTGGTGAAATCTCCCCGTCCTCTGCCGTAGTCAATTGTGCATCCACAAACGCATACAGCGCCGTGAGTGACCTGCTATCCGCAAACCGGCGCACCACACGCCCCCCATCGGGCATCCGAATCGCAAGCCGCACCCCGTCCGCGTCCTCGGGCGTATGCGCAAGTGCGCGGCGCGTCCACTGGCGCCACGTGTCCCGCTCAGCCGCGCGCAGCGCCTTGTCCTCCGCCTCGCGTGCAACACGCGCGGCCTCCGCCTCGCTCGCGGCACGCGCTTCTTCAGCCTCGCGCGCGGCGCGTGCGTCCGCCTGCATGAGCGCCTCGATGCGCGCGCCGTCGCGGGCAGCCGTCTCCCGGAACGCGCGGTCCTGCTCGGCGCGAAGGGCGCGGTCTGCCGCGGCAGTGTGTTGTGCAGCTCGCAAACTAGCAAGGAACGGTGTCACGCGGGGCAGGAGCTGTGTCTCGAGGTGCGCAGCGAGGGTCGCGGCCGAGGTGGGACCACTGGGGGGACCTTGGTGCCGCGAGAGGACCGTAAGCGTGGGCGGGGGAGTCG